ACTTAATTGATTTGTTAACTGTTATAAATTTTAATTTTTATTTGTTTTATATTATAAACAAACAATCAAAACATATAATTTTAAAAACGAAGAATAATAACTAATATATTTATTCTCAAAAAAATTAATTTTAATGAAAAATAAATTGATTTATATTTACTAACTATCTAAGAATAACAATATATTTAATCAACAATATTACGGTAAACTTTTGAGATTGGACAATAGTGAAGCCAGAAAAATTTTTTACGGAGGCAAAACGAAACGTTGATCAAAAAGTAGTTTATTTGTGCGTCAAATTGATAAGTAGAAACAAGGAAAAATTAATTTTAAAATATTATAAATAAACTTTTTTTAATTTCTAACTATAAATTAATAGTAATCGTGACATTTATATCATGTCATCAGTTGAATGACAAAATGAACGTATATTTGTAGAAACTACTAATGAATAAAAAAAAAAAACGAAACAAAAAGTTTTTTTTGTAGTTTAATAAAAACTTTGTAGTTTAAAGAAAACTAAAAACAAAAATGAAATTGAAAGAGGGAAAAAAAAGAGATAATTGAAAAAAAATTTTAATTTAACCCTCTGGCCCAGAATAATACTCCCTCTATTTTTTTCATTAGTGTTAATTTATCTTTTTTACATTTTTTTTAGATATGAATTTTTAAAAAAATTTAACATGTTATATAAATGATAATCAAATTATGATGGGTTTGAGGATAACTTCAAATTGAATCTAGGCAAGGTGGAATGGTGAGATTTTGAAAAGATGTTTGGTTAGGTAACGATGTGTTCAGCTAACAAATATTCAAGCCTCTTTATGTTATCAATAGGATAAGCAAATACAATCGAACAAATGGGCAAGTCAATAGGATTGACTAAGCCGTTAATTTGTTCCACAATTGACTCACGAGGTCCACAAAACCGATGTTTGAAGAACTTTGTTTTTTTTTTTTCTTTTTTTTTTGGATTATCCGTTATTTGAAAGTTCACTAGGTTATTGATTAATCTGGATTCAATCAGATAGGACCCCATGGGTGGCAAAACTTTTTTTCACGAATTTTAACGGAATTGTATTCTCAGAACTGAAAATCAAGACTTATGGTTAAACTGAAAATCAAGACCTATGGTTAAACTGAAAGAGTCTCTTACCAACTCATCAATCCAATCATGGGTAAACTTTGTTTTTTTTTTAATATCACTTTTGAAACAGAGTACTTCATGATCCGATCTGGTCAAGATATTTGTCCCACCGCCTAATATGAACTATTCTTAAATACAAATCTATAATTCTTAGTATGTATTATTATTAATATGTACTATTTTTAAATATAAACCTATAATTCTTTTTTTTTTGTACTTTTATTCATTTTACTTAATATTTTATATATTTTTCAGATAGTAAAATACTAAAAAAATCTATCACTAATCATAACAACAAAAAACTAAGCATAAAAAAGTTTAAGCATTAATGTGATAATTAAATAAAATTAACAACTAAATTGAAATTATTTATTTTCTTTTAATTATCAGATATATGTGCATGGGATACATATGTGCATGGCAGTCATATCTTTTGACTAAAATCAATAGGAATTAGCAGTAGTCATTAATTGAAAAGTTAATTTGCTTTAATTGCATGGTGAAGTGGTTATTTGCGTTTTTTAAATTTAGGGGCATATTTGCAAAAATGGGGCAAGTTTGAGGGCTTAACGAATTGTTTTGCCAGAAAAAAAAAACCAATGAGATCTCCCCATTCAATCCCAGCAAGAAAACATGCAAAATGAAATGGTTAAATGCCATAGTTTGGCCCCTCAACTTTAGGTTTTGCATAATTTTTGTCATTTAACTCTTTTATACTTTTTTTAGTTCTTCAATTTTGAAAAATACACTTTTTTAGTATTTACATCAATTAATCCGTTAAATTTGTTTATACATATACATTTTTAATCCTTGTATTTTTAAATTGAAGAACAAAAAATATGTGTATATTATAAGTTGAGAAATTAAAATATAAATATTTAGATAGATTTAATGAATTAACTGGTAGAAGGATTAAAAAAAAAATTTATAATTGAGAGACCAAAAAGGTACGTGAAAAGATTGAAAGGTAAAAATTATACAAAATTTTAAAGTTTCGAAATTGACATTTATGTCTAAAGCAAAATTGAAGTTAAAATAATAAGTAAATAAAAATTAAAAAAAGAAAAAGTAAAAATGGGCCGAACGGTGGTGCAGCAGTAAACTGGAGGCTCAAACGGTAAATTGAATATTGGGCCTCCAAACCAATTCCCGAATGACAGCCCAAAATGGTTTTGCCAAATTACATTAGGAACTACCGATTGACATTTTTACCGTACCATTGCTGCGATCACTGGTACGATTTTTCCACACTAAATCCAATATTATTTGTGACAGATGAAAAATAAAAGTTATAGGTAACTTTTGTCCTGGAATCCATAGGTTGTTATAACATCCAGCATGGTAATATATACATGTTATTGATTATATTCAAATACTAGTTTTCATACAGCAACACACAACACAACTATAAATAAAATACAATGCAGTACTAAATAAATTAATAGGAGATTTTCAAATT